TGTACAGTATAATATGTTTCATTAAAGCTACGATGGGGTTGGACGGCGACGACAAAGTTATGAGAAGGGGAAGGAAAAAATTGATACGACTTCAGTCAATTAACAGATCCACGAAATTCCCACTTGAGCCAACTGGTTAATCAAGATTTGAACGGAGACAGCCATATCGTATCCCATTTCGAAGCGAATACTTAATACTTTGGGGACCAAAGCGAGAGGATCGCTGCACCGAGTCACGAATATAATTGTAGCATCCAAGGGAAGCTATTGCGTCCACAAGAGGATCGAGTGTAGTATATATCTGTGTATATCTGTATATATCTGTGTAGTATATAACAGATCGGTGTTTTGGCCGGTTCCGGTTGAGTCAACCGTTCGAAATGTGTGCCTTTCATAAAAGTACAAGAACCCCTCATAATTATTTTGAGTACTCAACGTGGAGGCACGAGCCCCTCGCCCCCTCCAGCTCCTCTTCCATTCTTTGGCAATCCCCGGGAAGGTCGTTAAGCTGACGAAGGAAAAGTGAGGCCCAACCGGGACGGTGGCGTCTGGTGTCGCACTGTCAGAAAAATCATCGCACATTTTGACGACATGTTCAATCATTTTCGATTTTTCAAACAAAGATGTAAGTTTACGACACACTGGAAACGCAGGTGTGTGAATGTCGCACACTGTGTGAATAGCCACTCGTACACTGACGCGAGGTAAAGTGTGATTTTTTTTTATAGAAAAAACTTCACGCCCTTACCCATCAGAGTGTACAAATGGATATTCACACACCTACAGGTGCGAGGCAATGCTTCGCAATCGCAAAGAAAAATGCTTCGGATAATTACAAAGGATTAAAATTCTTCGCAATTGCAAAGCATTTGCTTCGTAGGACTTTAACAGTACAGTTCATCAGGAAAAGGGCTGCTTGTGCCAAAATTAATCCGAGCAGCACGATGGAGACTGAGGCGGGGAGAGAAAGTTTGGTTTCGCGACACGCAGGCGGGGCTAGCGTGCGCGAGCAAATGTGTTCTTTGTAAACGCTCCTTAATCGAGCCGCCCGCATATTCCAAGGAAACGCGTGTGGTATAACTACTCCGGAACACAGAGAAACTTGGGGGGGCGTGGCGGGCGAGGTGTATGGGGGCTCTGCGGCCTGGAAGTGCGGCGGCGCGCAGGGCCGCGAGCCCTCCACAAATTTTGCCTACTTTTCATCAAGGAAAGTCTTGTTCCTCCGTTTTGAGGGCCTTGGAACTGAGATCTGAACAGTTGTGGAGTGTGTGAATGTTGCCACACTTGTAGGTGGGTCCACAGAGAGGCACAAATGTGTCAATTTCAGAAGAAAATTCACATTTTTTAATCCTTTTAGTGTACTTACTAAAATCTTATGAACATGTTTTATTCATAGTTTGCATAGTTCTGTAAAGATGCGCAAGCCAACCATGTTAACAGGAACTATGTAAGTAATGAAAAAAAAAATGTTGATAAGCTAAGCGTTTAGTGTGTACAAATGGGCATTCACACGTCTAAAAGTGTGCGGTATACTCTCGTGTCCAGTGTAAAATAGTACACTAGATTAAAGGAATTTGTACACATTGTTTCCCTACCTGAGAAAGCTCTCGGCCTGCACCAGCCAGGGCCGCTGCAGCGCGCGCCCGGTGCCGAGCGCCCTGAGAGCGGGGCCCGCCCGACCCCGGAAGTAGAGCTGCCCGTCAAAGTCGACCGTCAGGACCGAGGCCGGAAGTGCGCGCAAGACTTCCGGCTTAAAGTGATCGCAGCCCAGGACCCAAATGCGGCGCAGACTCTTCGAACAAGGAAGAAAGTGTAAGGCCGGACGAAACAGGGCGAAAAATAAATAAATCTGTTTTGTAAAAAAAACAACCTAAGACGCTTAAAAGGTTGGAGAGAGAGAGAGAGAGAGAGAGAGAGAGAGAGAGAGAGAGAGAGAGAGAGAGAGAGAGAGATGCTCAGGATGCGTCACATCTCTCACAATCGCTCACAAAGCACAAAAGTGCGTGCCAATATTTTTTTTACGCAATGAAAAGAGTGTGCGTGGTGACAATGGTACCCCCGGACTAACAAATTAGCTAATTTCGTGATCAAGTTGATATGATTGCGGTGTCTGACATTTATTCGCGTCAGATTACCAGCCACTTTTGCTTTGTTCTGATGACTTTGCGCCCTCCGTGTCATAAGTAGGACGGGGCGGTGTGGTGGTGGGGACGACCGTCGCGGCGGCCACGGCCAGGGGCAGGGGCAGCAGCAGGTCGGCCCGCTGCTCCAGCCTCGGCGCCAGCTGCTGTGCCAAGTTCTCTGAACGCACATGGGGCCGCCGCCGCCATTATCGCACGGCTGCGCCAGCAGGACGGACTTAAATAAGCGCAGGACTTTGCAAAAGCAACTTCTTCTGGGCCTGGCCGGGCCTGCCTGGCCGGGCTTGCCTGGCCGGGCGGCGCCCGCAGGCCGTCGGGTAGGCAGCGTGCACGGCAGCAGGCCCGGGCGGCCGGCCCGCCTGCTGGCCCGCAGGCGTCCGGCCCGGGGGGAGGAGGTGACTCATGGTAGCACTACGAGCATAACCGTTGCTTTACTGAACGTAACTCTGTGCAACTCTCTTTTTAGACAATCCCTTAATGACTGTCTCTACCAGAAGGTAACGTCCCCCTCCCCTCTCTTCCCCTCCTCTTCTTGCTATCTACAGCACAGAGTGGGCGACCGTCGTGTGTTGTGGGTTTTTATTTATCATAACGGATGATTCGCAGGCTCAGCAGCTACTGTAGTGTTGCTATATACCGCTCGCTAGTAAAAGCGTTCACTGCGAAAAATGTCTTCGTAAATTGACAACGTATTTTGCATATCCGAATGTACGATAGCCCATTCCTAATTGTCAGTAAATTCCAAGTCGATAAACAGTTTCGTAATTTTACAAACTCAAATTGTCATCTTACAACACACATCATGGAGAATTTGCGTGTAGTTTTCCGAGAATGTCTCACGGTGTAAAGTTGTACAGTATAATATGTTTCATTAAAGCTACGAT